TATATTTAATAATTTAGTCAAAAGAGACAAACAAGAAAGAATGCCGGGCTTCAAACTTCAGAAAGGTGACAAAGTAAAAATAGAAATACCTAAACGCGACCCATATGAAAATACTATTGACTATGACAACAATGGGAACCCGACAGGTACTCACATTCGTGTTCGTAAAAATAGAAGAAAGTATACAAGAGAATATTATGAAGTTTTAGGCAAACATGGCAAAATGTACAGACTGCAAGCAGAAGATAAAACTACTATTGTCAGACCTCGTTTCAAACTTGTCAAAGTTCAAGGTGGTATACTTTCAAAGACAGTTCCTAACAAATATAAGACAACTCCTGACGAATATGCTAAAGAAGTTGAAAATGACGACTAAGCAATTCTATACCATGCGTAAACTGTCATGTAAGGTGGCATGTATTCTTTACTTTGTCCCGTTGTTTGCGTATATCCTGAAACGCGATGTGTATGGTTTCCATCTCCCTGAGTTACCCAAACAATTTATAGCAAACTTAACGTGTCTTTAACATCATATCCTTTACCTTTTTATTGCTGACCAATCCCAAAATTCTATGCTTATGCCAACCTGCTTGAGATGTACTTAAATCTATGTAGTGACTGTGCAGGTAAATTTTCACCTGAAATCGTTTTACTTCCACCTGTTTCCTTTGAAGAGTTTGCACAATACAAAAACCTGTCGACTATTTGTTCCATGCACCAACACCAAACATTACTTCTGGTCTGGTAGAGTTCATTGACGTATAAATAGAGCCTATAGGATATAATGTTTGAAGTATTTCTGTCTTTAATGTTTGAAGCTCTGTTTTGTCTGCTTTCTTGTCATATAAATCTTGAGCAGTGAATTTAGTATTATATTCATCCTTCATGACATAAACATCTTTACATCTAATGTTTCTCATCGTCGTTATGTCGTCATCCGATGTTAAACCTTGTGGAAAGTTAGGAGGTTTACAATATAATACATCCCCACCAGTTACGTCAACCGTTCCTTCAATACTTTCTATAGCAACAGTTGTAAAACTTGTATGTGTATGAGTCTTATTTGCTTTCTTCTCTAACTCATCGTTAACATAAGTTTTATCTGCTTTAAGGTCTAAACATCCTGAAACCCATCCTGTATCGGCTTTAGTTTTTAAAATCTTCGATGTCCGTTCATGGTACCAGTCAACCCTTTCTATAATTTCTTTATCTTTTTCATCCACATATTCCTTATCTGCTTTCTTCTCTAACGCACTAGCCACACAATCCTTATCCGCTTTCTTTTCAAGGCTAACGTTTAAGTCTGTTATTTCAGATATAGAATGTGTATGAGTCTTTTTAGAATATTCGTTTTCAGCTCTTGTCACTTCACTTGACATTTTATTGTCAACATATGTTTTGTCTGCTAGTTCAGGATGAGTATGTTCTTTTGTTGCATAAGCATTGTTAGCTCTTCTTCTTCTTTTGCTATTGCATCGTCTACATATTCTTTGTCAGCTTTGTTGTCAACATCTGCTTTCAAAAGAAGTTCATTTATAGGTTTCTCGTTTAAAGTTCCTTTTGTTGGATTTATACAGACAGTATGGTTCTTATTGTCTTGAAACAGAAACTCATCTGTCATTGGGTTTAATGTCAGTTTTAAGTTTCCTTCTTTCAATGACTCAGATATCTTAGAATAGTTTGAAAAGTTTGTTGTGTTCTTATTTAGAGCTTGCATAATGAGTTGTCGGTTGTGTTGTATTTCTCTCATGGAAGCAATATCTTTCGACATTTTTATTCTAGATAAAATATGCTTTCAATAGAAAAAGAAAATTCAAGAGTTGCTACAACTAAACCATTAGATGAACTTTTTACTAATGTCGGTCAAAAGTTTGAGACAGAGACCGTAAAGCATGAAGGCTATCGTTTTGACTACCCATTAAGATGGTTAAGAGACCCATCTGTCACAAAAGCTATTGGCTTTCGTAGAATGAAGTTCATTTCAGAAGCCATACATGGTTTCCCATTTACGGTCGGTTTTGAAGTTCGATACTATAACAAAGAAAAACGTATGTATGAGAAATTTGAACAGGGAAAACTTTTACAAGTTAGTTTGCTTGTAAACTTAGAAACAACTCTTCAAGCTTTTCAAGAAAAAATAAACGATATCTATATCGAATATGCAAAACAGTATAACATTGACGAAGGAGAGTACCATCTCGATATTATTTATGACAGGAAAAATGCAACTGTTAAAATCAATAGAATAGAAGACCTTGGAGAAAACGTTTATATTTCTACAAAATATAACAACTTGGCATGGTATAGATTTATGAGGATGTTAAATCAGCCTGCAGCATATCCAGTACACCCAGACTTTTATGAAGTCGAAAACCCTAATGGAACATATGAAAATATTTTCGACCCAGATGCTATTATTGTTCATGCTTCATTTTCTGGCGCCCAAAACTCTTTCTTATGTCTGATGAATGATTTTTACGAAAAACCTACAAAGTTATACGAACCACCAAGTGGAAGTATTTCAGACTTTCAAGTATGGTTTACTACAGATGGAAGAAAAAGAATAATTCCATTATACCATGCGTTTTACTTAGAACTTAGTTTCATATACAACTACTATCGAACGGTAAAAATATAATTTTTTAATACGGTTGAGGTGTTGGATTTGGTTGCCAACTAGACTGTGGTGCAGGTTCAGGCTGTTGTATAACAGGAGCTTGTTCTTCTGGTTCAGGGTCTTTAGGTATAATACCAACAAACTGACCTACTCTTTTACCAATATTTTTGACTCCGTTCCAAATTCCTCTTCCGACAGATTTTATTCCATTCCATATACCTTTTCCAACTCTTCTGAAGAAGTTTCCTATCTTACTGAAGAAACCCATTTTACTATATGTAAAAATCTAATGTCCGCCTAGTCTCTTACGTTTCCTGTTGAGTTCCATAGCATTCTTTAACTGGAGCTCATACATTCTGTTTCTCCTCTGGTAGAAAACATATTCTGGGTCAACTCCTGTGTTCGCGTCATCTGCATAAAGTTGTTTATATCCCACTTCAGGGTTTGTATAAAACTCTTTCCATCTCATATTTGCATACCATGGTGGCAAACCTAACGCAGCGTCATTTGACATGGCAGTTTGCATTTGTACATCTGTTGGCACTTGACCATAGTTTGCCATTGCAGTTTGTATTCTAACTTCATTTGGAATATTCTCTGGGTTTGGTTGTCCAGGTTGCTGTGCATTCGCTAAGTTCTGTGCGTCCATTTAATATTAGATAAAAATATCTCTTACGAGTACATATACTGAACATTTGCAGGCATTGGTTCATCTTCATATTCTCTATATCTTTCTGCCACGTCAAATAAATAAATGACACAATGGAAAAAACCTAAAACAAGTAGTCCTATTTCAAACCACATTTACTTACTAATAAAATTTCTTTATTGTGACACTTTCTCCAGTTTATAGGACCTCTCTCATATTCTATCTTGTCATATATAAACTCATAGTCATGTATGTCCTCTAACCATCTCATAACGGTTTCCAAACCACTTTTATCGGATGTAAAGTAAAAGCATGGATGGTTATGTAAAACGTCTAAAGTTTCTAAAGAGTCTCTCAAAGTCCAGTCTACTTGGTATTGAAAATCCCATGTGTTATAGAACGGTGGGTCCACTATAAAGAAAACATTTTCCTTGTCTTTATATTTTTCATACAAATCTGTCCAATGACATCTCACAAACTCTATACCCTCAATATATTTTTCTATGTCCTCTTTGAAAACATTTGTATAGTTAAGATATAAAACTTTTGACATAAGTGTTTCAATGTCATGAACTCTTATAGCACCACTATATAATAGTCTAGCAGATATACTATCCCAGTCTATATATTCTGCTTTTTTCAAAACCTCTCTCACAATATTTTTGTTATCTAATGGTATACGTTCCATCTTACCTATAGGTATCTTTTCTTTTAACTCTTTCAATATATTGTTTGTGTCTGGAATATGTTTGAGACGGTCCATATAGTTGTCGAAGTCATTGCATATAATCTTTGAGTCTGGGAATATTATATGGCACAAATGGGATATATAGAAACTTCCACCGAACAAATCTACAAATGTTAGACCATTCGGTAGTTTCTTAAGTTCTCTCAATATAATATCTTTACATTTACTCTTATTTCCAAAGAACGGTAACGGAGGTTTTGTAAAATTCATTTATATATAATAATAAAAATGTTTTTACCCGAAAAGTGACAGAAAAGTGACAAAACATGAAAACATATATAATTTGTGAAAAGCGACACATTATATAATGTTTTCGACCCAGAAGAAGGCTTCTTCCCAGAAGCAATGGAGGAAGAAGAAGAGTCCTCCGAATTCACACCAGAAGACTAACAATTTTCCGAATAAAAACTTCATTTATACTAAACATCTTCGGGGCTAGAGGGCACGAAGTGCCTGGAAGCCCCACTACCTTTTTTTTTTGATTGCATATTAAATGCCATTTAGGAAATATCCTCACTATAAACTTTTTCATATTATATGAAAGATGTGATAGAATTGTTTATTTCGTCGTAAAAAAGCTTATTAATAATATATTAAAGTTTGAATTGAGTCAAAGATATATTTCTAGTGAATACCAATGATATAGATCTCACCCATCTCTCTCTTTTTATATTGTGAAGTGAATCCAAATATGCTATTTTAATAATATATAGATGAAATTCATTGTGGAAATGTAAAACCAATTTGAAAATCAACTGTTTTTAAACTTTGACTTATAATTTTTTATTATTTATGACGTTAATTTCAATGAATTCTTTCAATATTGAATAATAAATTGAGAAGGTGCGGGTCGATTAAAAAAATTGGAGCTTTTAAAAAATAATTGTTTATAACTTTTGCACATGCATGTGATCTTCACGGGGCAGAGTTGTATAATAACGAACAAATTAGAAAAAATTTAAAACAATAAAATTTACATTGAATGTCTAGAAGGCGGGATTTGTTAAGTCTAATCCTAGTTTTTCAGCTCTTAATAAGTCTAAATCTTCATGTATTAATTTTGATTGAGGGATATCTGTTTTTTTATGATGATGTATTCTTTTAAGTTGATTTTCATTTGGCATAGAAGTTACTGGATCGCATTCTATGATATATTGATTTGGGGTGTTGCAATCAACAATAAATCTGATGATTCTACTCTTTGAAGACATGGAATATCCTAACAAGAAAAATATGAGAGAAAAAAAATTTAGATTTTTTGACTTATTTGGTGATTTTTTCAATTCATTTTCAATGCGATTCAAAAAAAATTATATGGGAACGCAATGAATGATTTCTATTATAATCATATATGAATATGTGAATGTGGCCATACCAAATTATTTGAATGGGTTTGAAATAAACTCCTTTAGCTTATCAAACGCCAACTTACTTTGAGCGGAATATTGTAATAAACAGAAATTCATCAAAAGTGACAGCTCTCAATTTTTTGACATTTGTAAATTCTAAATTGAATGAGAAAAATGAAATAATACTAAGCATAATACAATATTCTAGATTTAATTATAATTAGGAAAAAGTTAGTTTTGAGAGTACTTTTCATAGGCATATAGAATGAAATCTTCTGAAAAATAATATCACATAAACTCATATTATTTTCTAATATATAACTATTTTATATAAAAATCAAATTCAATGATCTTAAAAGCGAAGGATAAACCTCAAAATTTACGAATATAATGAGTGGAAATATAATGCTTATCTATCATAAAACCATATGAAATATCAATTTTTGCTTTACGCCTAATTTTTGACGACAATTAGCAAAAAATGTTAAATGTTAACACTCAGTCCATTTGAATATGAAAAATAAAATTGACTTTGATTAAATGTTTTTATTTATCATGCAATTCTTCTGGCGACCAAAGATTTGAATAAAAGTTCAAAAAATAAGATAGCTTAAAAAATAATATACGGTAGTGTTTACTAATAGATGAATAGTATATAAATTCTATTAAAATGGATTTGATCCAAAAAAATATATAAAATTTGATCATAAATAAAATCGTTTTAAATTACTTCTTCATTTAAATTATAACAATTATTTTTGGTTTTATATTTTTTGGATCAAATCCATTTTAATAGAATTTATATACTATTCATCTATTAGTAAACACTACCGTATATTATTTTTTAAGCTATCTTATTTTTTGAACTTTTATTCAAATCTTTGGTCGCAAGAAGAATTGCATGATAAATAAAAACATTTAATCAAAGTCAATTTTATTTTTCATATCCAAATGGACTGAGTGTTAACATTTAACATTTTTTGCTAATTGTCGTCAAAAATTAGGCGTAAAGCAAAAATTGATATTTCATATGGTTTTATGATAGATAAGCATTATATTTCCACTCATTATATTCGTAAATTTTGAGGTTTATCCTTAGTAGTATATATGACGGGTTGTGTGACTTTTTTGTAAACGTAAGAATTCATACAATATAGAACGATTTTGTATCATTTTTTTAACATATGAAGTAAAAAATGTATGATTCTTACGGTTTTTATTCTTACGTTTTTGAATAAATCAAGATTTAAAAAATTTTCAAAATTGTAAGACATTTAAAAAAAAAAAAAAAAAAAAGGTAGTGGGGCCTCCAGGCACTTCGTGCCTTCTAGCCCTGAGGATGTTTGGTATAATGAAGTTTTTTTTTTTCTTGGGATGGCCTTCCAGGCACTTCGTGCCTTCTAGCCCATAAAAAGTTTAGTATAAATGAAGTTTTTATTCGGAAAACCTTCTTCTGGGTCGAAAAACATTATATAATGTGTCGCTTTTCACAAATTATATATGTTTTCATGTTTTGTCATGATTTCATCGTAAATGTTTTGTCATGATTTCATCGTAAATGTTTTGTCATGACTTCATCGTAAATGTTTTGTCAAGACTTCTTCGTAAAATGTTTTGTCATGACTTCATCGTAAATGTTTTGTCAAGACTTCTTCGTAAAATGTTTTGTCAAGACTTCTTCGTAAATGTTTTGTCAAGACTTCTTCGTAAAATGTTTTGTCAAGACTTCTTCGTAAATGTTTTGTCAAGACTTCTTCGTAAATGTTTTGTCAAGACTTCTTCGTAAAATCAGACAAAAATAAAGTTTAGGGTAGAAGGTTAGATCTAACCTCTTTTCTAACCTCTTTTCTACCCTCATGAATTTTCATGATTTCATCGTAAATGTTTTGTCAAGACTTCTTCATCGTACATGTTTTGTCAAGACTTCTTCATCGTACATGTTTTGTCACTTTTCTGTCACTTTTCAGGAAAAACATTTTTATTATTATATATAAATGAATTTTACAAAACCACCGTTACCGTTCTTTGGAAATAAGAGTAGATGTAAAGATATTATATTGAGAGAACTTAAGAAACTACCGAATGGTCTAACATTTGTAGATTTGTTCGGTGGAAGTTTCTATATATCCCATTTGTGCCATATAATATTCCCAGACTCAAAGATTATATGCAATGACTTCGACAACTATATGGACCGTCTCAAACATATTCCAGACACAAACAATATATTGAAAGAGTTAAAAGAAAAGATACCTATAGGTAAGATGGAACGTATACCATTAGATAACAAAAATATTGTGAGAGAGGTTTTGAAAAAAGCAGAATATATAGACTGGGATAGTATATCTGCTAGACTATTATATAGTGGTGCTATAAGAGTTCATGACATTGAAACACTTATGTCAAAAGTTTTATATCTTAACTATACAAATGTTTTCAAAGAGGACATAGAAAAATATATTGAGGGTATAGAGTTTGTGAGATGTCATTGGACAGATTTGTATGAAAAATATAAAGACAAGGAAAATGTTTTCTTTATAGTGGACCCACCGTTCTATAACACATGGGATTTTCAATACCAAGTAGACTGGACTTTGAGAGACTCTTTAGAAACTTTAGACGTTTTACATAACCATCCATGCTTTTACTTTACATCCGATAAAAGTGGTTTGGAAACCGTTATGAGATGGTTAGAGGACATACATGACTATGAGTTTATATATGACAAGATAGAATATGAGAGAGGTCCTATAAACTGGAGAAAGTGTCACAATAAAGAAATTTTATTAGTAAGTAAATGTGGTTTGAAATAGGACTACTTGTTTTAGGTTTTTTCCATTGTGTCATTTATTTATTTGACGTGGCAGAAAGATATAGAGAATATGAAGATGAACCAATGCCTGCAAATGTTCAGTATATGTACTCGTAAGAGATATTTTTATCTAATATTAAATGGACGCACAGAACTTAGCGAATGCACAGCAACCTGGACAACCAAACCCAGAGAATATTCCAAATGAAGTTAGAATACAAACTGCAATGGCAAACTATGGTCAAGTGCCAACAGATGTACAAATGCAAACTGCCATGTCAAATGACGCTGCGTTAGGTTTGCCACCATGGTATGCAAATATGAGATGGAAAGAGTTTTATACAAACCCTGAAGTGGGATATAAACAACTTTATGCAGATGACGCGAACACAGGAGTTGACCCAGAATATGTTTTCTACCAGAGGAGAAACAGAATGTATGAGCTCCAGTTAAAGAATGCTATGGAACTCAACAGGAAACGTAAGAGACTAGGCGGACATTAGATTTTTACATATAGTAAAATGGGTTTCTTCAGTAAGATAGGAAACTTCTTCAGAAGAGTTGGAAAAGGTATATGGAATGGAATAAAATCTGTCGGAAGAGGAATTTGGAACGGAGTCAAAAATATTGGTAAAAGAGTAGGTCAGTTTGTTGGTATTATACCTAAAGACCCTGAACCAGAAGAACAAGCTCCTGTTATACAACAGCCTGAACCTGCACCACAGTCTAGTTGGCAACCAAATCCAACACCTCAACCGTATTAAAAAATTATATTTTTACCGTTCGATAGTAGTTGTATATGAAACTAAGTTCTAAGTAAAACGCATGGTATAATGGAATTATTCTTTTTCTTCCATCTGTAGTAAACCATACTTGAAAGTCTGAAATACTTCCACTTGGTGGTTCGTATAACTTTGTAGGTTTTTCGTAAAAGTCATTTGCCAAGCATAAGAAAGAGTTTTGGGCGCCAGAAAATGAAGCATGAACAATAATAGCAGCTGGGTCGAAAACATCTTTAAATAAATATGGTTCATCTCTTGCATATCGACTGTAAATATTTGCTAAAGGAAGTTCGACTTTCTGATTTAACATTCTTTGCAAATAATACCATGACATTGCAGTGAATTCTGTATATATTTGTTCGTCTTTCTTTGGATTGTCTTCGTAGATTTGAAATGACACTTGTGAATTTTGTTTGTCATATACAATTCTCACATAAAGTGTGCTCTCGGTATTTGCATATTCATCAGCATATTTTGCATAACATGAATTTATTTTATCTTCTATATTTTTTAACGCAGTCTGTAGAGAAGATGAAAGGTCAACTTGTATTAGCTCAATTTCTTCCCACATTTTTCGTTTCCCTTCAGATATATAATCTATATGAAACCTTACAATAAATGGAAAACTTTTATCTTCTACAGACACAAACTTCATTCTACGAAAGCCAATAGCTTTTGTGACAGATGGGTCTCTTAGCCATCTTAATGGGTAGTCAAAACGATAGCCTTCATGCTTTACGGTCTCTGTCTCAAACTTTTGACCGACATTAGTAAAAAGTTCATCTAATGGTTTAGTTGTAGCAACTCTTGAATTTTCTTTTTCTATTGGAAGCATATTTTATCTAGAATAAAAATGTCAAATGAAACAGCGTCTATGAGAGAAATACAACACAACCGACAACTCATTATGCAAGCTCTAAATAAGAACACAACAAACTTTTCAAACTATTCTAAGATATCTGAGTCATTGAAAGAAGGAAACTTAAAACTGACATTAAACCCAATGACAGATGAGTTTCTGTTTCAAGACAAGAAGAACAATACTGTCTGTATAAATCCAACAAAAGGAACTTTAAACGAGAAACCTATATCTGAACTTCTTTTGAAAGCAGATATTGACAACAAAGCTGACAAAGAATATGTCATTGAAAAAGTTCAAGAAGAACATGACAGAGCAGATGCAACATATGCAACGAAAGAACATACTCATCCTGAACTAGCAGACAAAACATATGTTGACAATAAAATGTCAAGTGAAGTGACAAGAG